AACTGATCAACCAATCAAAAGCTGCCTTCCTCGTCTCCAGCCAATGAACGAGCGGTGCCTGGTGAAGATGGGGCTTTCTGCAGGGGAGCCCCGGCTGCGGCGGACCCCCGCCGGCGTCACGTTTCCCGCCCGCAGGGGTTTTGTCACCTGCTGGGCCGTCCCTCCCTCCTTGAGACGAGGAGTCCTATCTGCCGGGCAGGGCCGTCTGCTAGGCAGAACGGAGGGGGAGGAGGAGCTCGGGGAAGCCGCTTACGAACAGAAAGGGACGGCACGCGGCCCTGTCGCACGGAGCTCTCTGGTGCCAGCCACGGGCTCTCGCGCTCACTCTGGGGAGTTCCACGTGTGCTTCTAAGGAACTACACAAAATTACTTGGAGCTTGGGTGAAAGATTCTCTCTGTGGTTCGTTTGCAAAAGCTGACTTAGCCTGTAGTCTGCAATTAACTTACTGCCAAATAGAAGCATTAAAAGTGTTAGAAATGCCTTTCCTCTACCACCCTCCCTTTTAGAATTACTAGGTGCCACACAGAGCAGACGGTCCAGCTCGTTTTTACAGCTAAACAAGCAAAAGGTTGCAAAGGAAAGGTACCTTGAGGAGAAAAAAAAAAATTGCTATTCTTCCCCAAAACAAACAAAAAGAAACCCACAGCCTTTGAAACACCTTAAAAAGACATTGTAATACAAAGAAATACGCAGCCCTGAGGTCCACATTATTATCACTGTTTTCCTAACACTATTAGTAACTTACTGTAGCTACCATTTCATACAATTAATTCTAGTGCATCTGCAGATGAGGCCAAACACGAGTGCGAAACACTTCTGATATCAGTTTTTAATCGTGTCATAAGCACGGGATAACCTTTAAAGCCTTACAAATACGCTTTCTGTGTTACAGAAAACACTTCTCTCATGCAACTGTTTTGTAGTTGCTTTTTTTTGTATTGGTTCTAATAATTTGTACCTCTGTCCTTATATTCCTCTCTTTTTCTTTTTTTCATAGCTCCAAAACTAATATTCGTAAGTATGACTCTCTCTGGGCCTGGGCCTGTGAACTTAGGTAAGAAATCTCATTCTTGGTAGTAAGTACTATTCCACACAAGATGCTTGCAAGACTGAAACCATAGTCTTCTATAACAGCAAATTAAATAACAGTTATTGGAGAGCACTTGCTTTCATGGAAAACAATGTGTTTATCTTTTCCTATATTATTCTACGTGACTTTCACTTGCATTTAACCCTTAATTAAATATTTCATTTTTTACTTACAAGCAATTCTCTAAGGGGTAGCATATCTTGTGTAAGAAAAGATATCAATGTATTTTCTCCAGAACCATGTTTTTTTTTAACACCCTTCAACACTCAAAACTTTCACTACAGTTCAACATAACGTACATTTCTAAGTCTGTTCTGCACTCTACTGGAGGGGAGTTTATATGAACTTACTTAAATTAGCTTTAACTACAGTATCTTGGGCAACAGAAGCAAAGATGGAGCAGTGCAACAGGCTAGCTATCCAGTATCTAGAATCCCTAGATACATAGTTTGTGTTAAAGCCTATTATTTTTAAATCCATCTAGCTAGGCTGGTGACTCCGGGAGGCAAATATAATCTTTCACCTTGTAAAATGCTAGCTTTAAGAATGTTTTCACCCATACAAATTTGTTATACTCAATTCCAATTACTATTTTTAATATTTGATAATATCAAATGTCAAGGCTACAGTGACATCTTGTGGCACTTTTTAACTGTAGGTAAAAAAGCAATTTTCTTGCAGTCCTGTTGCATCATTTTAAGACTATATCCTGATTTTTTCAACAAGGATTTTAAAAATATATCTTTTAGATACCATTTTTAAAATCCTGTGTTGCATAAACATTAATTTCTACAGAACATTCAGAGGTGGTGATGGATCTGTTTAGACTCCAAATATTTCCAAATGACATCTAGATAATGGCTTAGAAGAAATAATCACATATCAGAAATAAACAAACCAACCCCTTTTGGTTCCTAACCACAATGAATTATGGCTAGAGCTGAAGTCTTGTCTTTGACTTTTCTTTGCTATCTAAGCCTAAGTGCTTAAGGCTCTGTTTTTTGATGGTTTTTTTTCCTCATGAGTGGGCCTTATCTAAATTAAGTGAATGTATGTGCCAACAAGTACACATTTTTTAGAAATGAAATCTTGTTGCTGCTCATCTGTATGCTGTGAGCTTGCTTTAGACATCTAACATTGAAAAATCTGATCAATCTGAAAATAAATACACTGCAAATCTGTTTTATGTATTTTATTTGACAATGGTACAAATTAAATTTACCAGTATAATAAAAGCTTGTTCTACTGATACAGAAGAACCGAAAAAACCAACCAACCCAAACCAATTCCTTCTCAGCAACAAAGAACTCAATACTAAGATTTGTCCGAGTTGACTGTTAATTTCCCATTTTAAAAGTAAGGTAAACAACATCTGTGAGTCTTCACAATTCTAGTTGATACTGCACAGAACAGAAGTTACAGAAGACCAGGTACTAAATGAAATGCAGTGAACTACCACTAGGGAAGTTGCATTTCTGGAAATATCATAGACCCCTTTGTATACTACTTATCACAACAGCACAATAATTAAAAGATACTTTTCACTATTACAACAAAATTAAGCAGCCTTTACATTGCCATTTTAAGATTTTGCCCTTTAAATCTTGCAAAAGTACTAGGAAGACTTCACTGAACAGAAACCAAATCCTTTAACACCAATAGAGCACGGCAAAAGAATCCCCCGTTCCCCCAAAGAAACCCAAAGACTCACACCCAGAATCAGCCCTGCTGTAAAGAACTTGTCACATTTTTTCAACCACTTTTTGTTCAGTTAACTTAGTACAAAAAATGCTAATATTATACACCATGTGTGCAGATGCTATTTGCGTACTAGGTATTAGCTGTTATTGATTGCCCACAGATACCTTTGAGCTAAGAATCAATTAAAAGCTGATGCAAATGAAACTAAATCTACTTTGGATGCCAGATTTGATTCCTCTCTGTGACCCAGGAAAATCGCTGTCTTTTGTTCTTTATACTACAAAAAAGTTCTGTAACTGCAATGGAAAAGGTTTGCCTGTCTATGCGAACACATGTTTCCAGAACTACAGAGTCCCAATCTAACAAAAGCTGTTAATAATAGCTGTTTCTTACTATAGATAAAGCCAGGGAATTCAGAGACTGATAACAGAACAGTCCACCCCTGTCAAATATAAATGTACCTTAATATACTTTTTTTTTTAATAATGCATTACCCATTCATTGGACATTTTAATTCTGTTGTCACAGCCACCAAAAACAGAAATGGAAGGAACCAAAAACTAAAGTAAATACTCATTTGAAAGAGTAGTTAAAAAAACCCAGACCTGTAGTATTACAACATGTACACTCCCTAATAAATGTAGAATGGGTTGCTCTTATTAGGAATTGTAAATAAGACATTTTTAAAAAGTGAGGATTTTCTTGGGCACATTTTTGTAACAATGTACACACAAAATATCAAAATAAAACTAAGTATTAAAGAGAATATTAATAAGTAATATCCCATCCATTTCTTCTTGCTGCTTATGGAAGTTTAGTATTTCATGTATTCATGTTCCTTACATTTCCAACTGCAAGGTTTTACCTTTCAGCTGCTTGTGCTGTTTCAGCAACTCTAGGCAAATTAATAATGGGGAAAAAAGCCACACCAGAGATCATTTTCCACTGTCTCAGCGGTACTAAATACTGTAGGCAATGGTTTTAGGACTGAGATTATGGGCTTGTTTTCATAGCAGCTTCAGGAACATCTCAGAATACACAATAGCTTATATACAAACTTCAAAGGGGTTTTGTACAGGAGTCAAGAAGCCTGGCCAACAGTTTACTGTAGCCCTCCTATAGTTTCACTGGGAACTGGGTAGGAGGAGGTAAAGAGAGGGAAGGCAAGGAAGCATCTCAACATAAAACTATCAAAAATACGCCTAGACCTCATTTGACTAGATACACATATTAAAAAAAAAATCAAAACATAAGCACTGAAGGGTAGGAGTGCATTTTTGTCTGCATGTTTCTGAAGAACTGGCCTAATTAATTGTAATAGCTTTTCTGGTTTTAAGGAAAGAGGATGATTTTATCACAGCTGAACATTAGCATATATTCTTTAAGTTTTCTCAAAACTTACCTGGGAGAATTAGTAAGAAAGGAAAAAATACATAAAAAGACAAATGGAAAAAATTCAGAGGCTACAAATAAGGATGGCCAAGATGCAGTAATTATACCACCTTCTCTCCTTGAACTCAGTACAATTCACTGAGTATTGCTTAACATCTGGCCCCTTAAATTCATCGGCTTACATTTTACTTTTGTGATTTGCATAATTAGGAAAACCAAACTGAGAAATCATGATATTAGAATATTTTAAAGGCATGCCTTCATAAATATTAACCAATTTATTTACACAGTAAGATCTCTGTAGCAGATGCTCTGCTCTGTGCCACATTCCAGAATAGCCACTGTTAGTGTCTTTTTCTAAATTTCTTATATCAACAGGCTTCACAAACACTCCTGAAGGCTTTCCAGTATGCTTGGCTACCAGAAAATTCATGGCAATATCATCACAATTTTGAGTTTCATCTATTAAGGCATAAACAGCTTCTGGCTGTCTTTGAAAGTCTTCTAAATACCCACTATGAAAAAATGCAGCACCAATAAGAACCATAGAATACTGATCTCCATTTCCAAATCCAGGGTTCTGCAATTCGAAGCTGCCGTAACTGTATATGCCTGAAGGAGTAGAAATGTGCTTTCTAGGAACAAATCCCACTATATGCTCTGGAAATTGCTGAAAGAAAGAAGACATTTTTAAAAAATCAAAATTAAGCTCATGCTGTGAAACACACGTTAAGTATTTTCATAAGAGAGATTTATGCTTTCTTTAAATGAGAGGAGCACAAGATTATTGACAGAAAAGAATGAAATTATTGGCATATGGTCCTTTGATCTGCATAAATGTTGCCATTAAACACAGTTTTGCAAAACTGACAAAATATATCTCATTCCACATCATGTAGTGCCAAGAAACATCTATTCACAATTTGCAGCTGTATATTTGGCACGCAAAATAAGTTTACATACAATTTATCTTAGAGAGAAATAAATCCACACTCTTTGATTTTGCAGCTTGCAAAACAATAAATTCAGCAGTTGGCAACTTCAGTGCTCATGTACAAGAAGAGTTAAAAATCTGAAAGTTACAGATTACAGGTATAGCTGCTATATATTATTTTTATATGCAATTTTTATTATTACGTACTTCAGTCCTTCTAAAATTTAACTTTATAGCTACAAAATCAAAGTTAAAACATTATGATACATTATTACTCTAATTAAAACCATTAATCTCAATTGTAACTCACAAAAAGTGCCCCCCAATGTGCAAAGCATTACCTGCCAAACAGAAAAGGCAAAAGCAAGGTCGTGAGCACTGACTAGTGTATCATCATCCATCATTAAAACAGCTGAAGAGAGAAAAAAAAAAGCTTTTAACTTATCAAAAGGTTAACGACATGAGCACAGTTTTTGACAAGTTATCCGTGAACCTTCTATAACCACTAAGCTGAATTGCAGAACTGAACTGTAACTCCTTTAAAGTCAATTAGGAAAACGTATTTAGATTTCAAAGCTAGAGCAAGGCTGCAGCTTTGTGGTAACTGGAAGCAAACCTAAGTTTCAGATAATTTGCCAGGCTGTAACAAAACTCAGCAACCTTTGATCATGTGTAGTACAGCTGGTCAGATATGTGTTGAAAACTTGGAGTGTTTGGCCAAGCAACTTACAATTCTACTAATCTTGCGTAAAAATACAACTCAAATGAAGAGTTAGATACCATTCTTTAGTGTATGAGATTTATACAGGATTCTTTGTATAAAATTTTACCTGTCTCCTCACTACTTCTAAGCTCTAAATAAGCAAGCTTAATAAATTGCACAGGCAACATTCAGTATGGTTAACCACAGAAGGAAGAATCTTTGCCTTAAATTTTAGGCAAAAAACTATCAGGAAATTGAAATAGGAAAGATATTTTTAGATCAGAATTCCAGATGCATTAACGCTTTAAGCTTTTAGTCAGAATCAACCCTTTTACAGTAAATAAAACACTTGGGAAGTTAAGTTTCTAGTGTCTGCCTAGAAGTCATGGGTTTTGAGTAGCAAGGCATGTTAGGGAGGGGGCAGTAAATAGAATTACCTTTACTAATCATGAGTAAGGTCAGGTCTGTAATGCAACATATGGGGTTTTTTTCCACTTGAAACAAACAGGGCTTATTGTTGTGCTTCTCCTGGAAAGAGCTTGGGAAGAATATTTAGATGAATAAACAAAAGACTGGGGAAAATACTCTTAAAAAGGATGTATAATTTTGAGATAGAAAGCCAGACAGCTAGGGAGGGAAGTTTCTCTGAAGAGCAGAACATGCTTAAGAACTTAGTCTTAAAATTAATACATTAAATCAAGCCTTTACCAAATGACTTGAGTCCAAATTAGTGCAGAGACTCAACAAATACACGCACTACGAATTTCAGTTTACACCAGAAAGGGAAGAGAGGCTGAACTACCTATGTTTGCCTGACAAAGGAAATCAAGAACAGACGCAGTGTCAAAAGCCCATAAAATGCATTTGACATCCTTTTTTTCCTTCCTCTTTATTGACAGCTTCTAGCCTGCTGGTAGTGGTGGTGTGCATCTGGTATCATAACATCGGTTTCTTTTCTATTACCCAACAGATCCATGGATTTCTTATATAGTAGAACTTAAACCATATCTCTTTTAGAATTCAGATTTTAAGCATTAAAATATATTAGTAGTAGTGATATGAACTGCTGATTACCTTTAGTTTCCAGCTCAGGGAAATTCTGCAGTCTGTTCCTCATGCGATTTACAGTTTGAACTTTAAAGACAACAGGGACAGGATGAGGCCCCAAGGAATTCCACACTTCCTCTGGTATCTTCTCACCAATGTTGTTCCACACAACAATTACTTTATGTAGGTGGGGGATGGCTTGATAATGATTTAAAAGCTTTAGCAGTAAGTCAGTTCTATTATATGTCTGCATAATAAGAGTAAATGAATCCAAGGCAGACTGACTCTGGGTTTTTGGTTCCCTTCTCAAATTGGGCATTTTGTCATCTTTGATGTTAGGAAGCAAAGCTGTTAAAGCACCTGCCACAAGAAGTAAGACAATGATCACCACAGATGTGAAGCGTAGTAGGCGGATTCCCATAACTCGTCCTGGAAGCTTACAGAAGTGAAAATACCTTTAAAACAAGTAACAGGAAAGGAAAAGTAATTAATCCCATGTATTGTTATCTCCCTTACTTGAGCTAAACTCCCACAATATTACGTAGACTTTTGTTTAAATAAATAAGGAGGATTTTAGGATTTGGGCTAATTACTTTCAACTATCAAGACATACTTCTGGTACTCAGTTTCTATGTTTACTTGCTTTTCACTCTTTTTGGTTAAGTTTGAATTTAATTGTTCTGTGAAAATTAATCTAGAATAATTCTTTAACTCCAGATTGTTGATCATCTCTTATTTTCTCCATACTGCATTTTTGATTGAACATTTACGTACCTCAGCAAACCCATCCAGCTGAAATTAGACATCAAGTTTGTACAGAGATTTAGTATTTTCAGCATTGCAGGAGCTCTGCCTTAGGTGGGAAACAAAAGGGAGAGAAGGTGCCTCTTCAAGAGCTCTGGCAGAAAGGAGGAAGTTAAATGCTAGCACTCCCAGTTCTCCACACATTTATAAATTGTAATCTCAGCAGGATCCAGCAGCCACTGCATTCCATAGTTTGCACCTCAAATGTGTCATCCACATCTATTCTTCCTCCTTTACTTACAAGATTAGTATGAATGGAACACAAGATTCTAAGCATACTGCTAAGCAGTTACTCATCTATACATGTTACTTCATTAGTAATTTATAGACTTTCAGCAGGGAATTCTGATCAAATTAAGCGATCCAGGACAGCCCTATCAATTACCATTTTTGAGAGAATCTGTGTTTTTTCACAGAAGTTTGGATCATTTTTTTCCACAGTGCATACACCATGCTTGAAAATATGAATGTAAATTATTTTAGTCTAAAAAAACCTCTCAACTTACCTCATTGTTGCCAAGTAGGATTGTTTTTCCCCTCTTGTTTTTACAGGACAGTTGTTTGTGATCTTTGAATCTGTTGTAAATTAAAGGGACTCATATCACTGAGTTATCAACAGTTATCCCACATGCTACCCAGCATTCTTTTACAAGTAAATGTTCCTCTCAATTACTCATTGATGTACACATTCTTGGCAATTATCCAATCCCTTTTCCTATTGCTCTGTTCAATAATTATCTCTACCTTTCAATGAACACTCCAGAAAGAAGTTATTACATGTTGGTTAGAAAGCAAACCACAGCATATGTCTCTGCTTGTAAAATAGTTGCTTTGTACCAATGCAGTGTCCATGTGTTCTATCCTTAGGGACAAGTACAGAGATGCAAGTAGGTCTCCATATCCTCACAGTCTGCTGCTTTGTTCACCAGGCACCAATGAAATATATATTTGGCTATCATAGGCAGGTAAATAGTTCCAATAAAATTGTTTTATTTTCTGGCTCATCCCCTTCACACTCTCCTTCCACTAAGCTTACCAGTTGTGTTAGAGGATTAGAATATGCATTTTGTTCTTCCCATCTGGTTTAGCAGCTTGGCAGAAGGGAAAGTAAATATGAATGTAAGCAGAAAAAAGAAGGATGCACGAGATGCAGCACTGCAACCTCAGAAACCTGTGTCTGCTAAAGCTTCTAGGTTGTTGAAAGGATTTTTGTTCTTTTAAAACTAGTTGAATAAAAAAATTGAGGTTTTATTTTTTTATTTAGGAATGGTACTCTTAACAGCTTTGAGAGCAAGAACTTGGATTTAACAATTGAACCAATGTGAAATTTTGTAAGAGTAATTTGCTTAGGTTATATAAACTTACTTCTTAAAAGTACAGAATTGCCATTTTGTGTAGATACCAATCTGAATATGCCCACACATACAGGTCTTCCCAAATTTGAGTTCCAGTTTTACCACTGACTTATTTTGTGAGGCTGGAGTGCCTTGTTGAAACTATTTCCAGAAGTTAATAACTTGTTTTGGTTGCTTTATGTTATAGATATAAACAATCATGCCTAAGTTCTAAAACTGATTGCCAGGAGTAGCTACTCAGCATTTCTTACAACCACCATTTCTTGGTCATATGTGCTTTTGAAAATGTGAACCTTAGATTCTCATTCCCCAATTGCAACTCAGACACAATACGTACCAATAGTACTGTAACAACTAATTAGTTAAAATTTACATTTTGCTTAAGGTGAAAGTGTAAGTGTTGTTTACTCTAGTAATGAGCCTTCCCGGCTTGCCACACATTCTTGTATTCACTCAATTGCATAAAATAGGTTGTAATGATAAGTAAGGATGACATTTTTTTATATATTCTCTAATTAAAATCAACATCTACATAAAATCTTTAGAATCAGCATCATGGCACTTTCCAGTAAAAAAGTGCCGATCAGTTTTGCCAATTAAGTTATGAAACTGCAATGCAAGATTGACCTCCAAAAAATTCTTACAATACGCCCTGCAGAGAACACTTCCTCAAAACAAAACTGACGAAAATAAAAACCCTATGTCAAAGTACAGTATTTTATCCTCATCCCAAGAACATGACTGCTTGAACGGGTTCCCCGCTCTTCGTGGGAAGCGCCTCGTGGCAGCATTTCATAATAATGACACAAAGCCACGGAGCAGAAGCGATCAGCTCCCGCTGCCGGGCAGGGCACGCCGTCCCCCCG